ATTACTAAAGGAGCTAGATTTACCTTTTCAAGTTCTCAATGTCTATAAATTTTGTGGTTAAAAAAATTTATCTTTGCTTTCTTTTTTTTTGTGTGATTTTTAATTTTTTTTTTCCTAATTTTGATAATTTCTTAAAAAGCATTAGATGCATTAATGTTCCATGAGATATAAAGGTTGATATGTTTGAATCCTAAAAAATTTAATTCCTTGTGAAGTAAAATGCTTTTTCCATTCTATCAATTAATTTGGCATGTGAGCTGAGGAAAAAATAAAAAGTTTTCAGGTTGTGTTATTTTTGGGTTAAAACCTCGATTCAGTCCCTCAACTTTCAATTTTGAACTAAAACTACCCTTGAACTTCAAAAAAGTACTAAAAAAATCCTTGAACTTCAATTTTTGAGACCAATTTCGTCCTTCCATCAACGGAAGTGCCAGATGGCACGTTAAGTTGCCACGAAATCAATTATTGTTTGAAATCTTTAATTACATGAAAAATAACTTATTATCCACATCATTTTAATTAATTTATATATTAAAAATTTAAAATTTCTTAAATACCCCCAATCAGCACCGATTATCCCTCAATGCTTCGGTCATCTCTTTCCACTCCAATCACCATCTCCTTCTTCCCCAAACCTCCCAAACCTCCTCTCTAATGGAACCCAAATCTGGTATCATATTGCAAACTTATACCAATTCTGTAAAAGAAAAGAAAAATGCAAAAAACGCAACATCCCTTCAATCAACACCAACCGTAACTGAACCTTGAAATTCAAGCAAGTAGAACACATATCAAAACTCTAAATCCCATACCAAGATAGTTAAGCATCACTGTAGCCAACAAAGAAACAGAAGAAAAAACCCAAGCGTGTTCGACTCGAACCCACGCTCGAGTTCCATCGAACCCAGGCATTGGGTTCGAAGGAACCTAGGGCTTGGGTTCAAGGAACCCGCGCCTGGGTTCCTCAACCCGCCTGGGTTCCATTGAACCCAGGCTCTGGGTCTGTAGGAACCCAAGGCTTGGGTTCGAGGAACCTGCGCCTGGGTTCCCAAACCCATGCTTGGGTTCCTCAAGCCGCCTGGGTTCCATCGAACCCAGGTGTTGGGTTTGAAGGAACCCAGGGCTTGGGTTCAAGGAACCTGCGCCTGGGTTCCCGAACCAGCACCTGGGTTCCCAAACCCGCGCCTAGGTTCCATCGAACCTAGGGCCTGGGTTCCATCGAACCTAGGGCCTGGGTTCCATCGAACCTAGGGCTTGGGTTCCATCGAACCCAGGGCCTGGGTTCAACCCAGCACGCTTGGGTTCGAGGAACCCAAGCGTGAATGAAGGAACCCAGTAGGCAGGAAAGGAGAAAAATAAAGAAAGAAAAAGAAGGGAAAAAAGAAAAGGGATGATGAATTGAAGAGAGGTTGAAGGAGATCGCGAGAAGTGAGGGATTAGTGAGGTTGAAGATAAGGGTATTTTGGTAACTTCAACAAATATAAACAAATTGAAGATAAGGGATAATTGTGTAATTTTAAGGATAAAATGCCAACTCATACACTTTTACATGTGGTTTTTCCATGCCATTAGTTGAAAAGAAAAAGCTTGATTTCGTGGCAACTTAACGTGCCATCTGGCACTTTCGTCGACGGAAGGATGAAATTGGTCCCAAAAATTGAAGTTCAAGGATTTTTTTAGTACTTTTTAAAGTTTGAGGGTAGTTTTAGTTCAAAAATGAAAGTTGAGGGACTGAATCGGGGTTTTAACCTTATTTTTGCCCACTGAAGTCCCAGTCAATGCTAGGTAGGCATTAATTAAGGGGTAAATAAAAAGGTGGACGGAAAGTTGACGTTTTATGATGTCCTCGTCAGGAAAAGGGCTGATTTGCCTTACTTTTAAGTAGAGGGGCTCATATGCAACAATAATTGAAGTAAAGGGGCTGAATTGCACCTT